TAATAGGAAAAACTTAGAAACTTGATAAAGTGACAACACTGGAACAGGCACTTCAGTGAGTTGAGTTATAGCTTTCCTTTGAAATAAAGAACAGGGCAGACATGCACATCAGGGTTGGTTTAAGTGTACTTGGAGAGAGACCTCGAGAGAACTAATCCAGCCCTGTTACTCATTCTGTGCAGCCTTGATCACAGAAAGTTGCAAAATCGCGTAGGTACCTCTGCTGACCAACCCCTTCTAGGAGACTGCTGCAGTTTCACGTGAGGCTGTGCAGTGAGCTTTGTTCCAGCCAGTCCTGGTTGCTGGCAGGATGCGAGGTCAGCAGTGCTACCTCAACCTGAAAAACACGTGACATTTCGGATGTGGGAGATGCTCTTCTGTAGGTATATGTTTTTTCTGGGACTACTTATGTGTCCAGTGTCCCAGAACACCAATGACTGTTGTAGCCTGTTGCATCAGCTCATTTTTCAGTTCCTCAAAGGGATGCAGCCAAGTTTGACACCAGCCTGTCATATCCAGGAGTCTTGTGCTGAATCAGTCCGGCAGAAGCCCGTCAGATGCCTGTCCCTATTTTTGTACTTCTGCTTCTATGGCCATTAAGCTTCTACTTTTCACAGCCTCTGTAAAGAAGTATTTCAGGCATGGGCACAGGTGGAGGTACAGTGGTAAAATGTAAGATTTACACCAACATTTCACTCAGCTAAATAGCTAATATTTATGCAGCACTGTTACTGCTGAGATGCTGAGTGTACAGTGTTTCCATACTATGCTTAAATGGTTCTTGTTCATATTATTTTGCATCTAATGTTCTGATAAAAATGCCAATTTCTTTTTGTTTTCCTCACCTATACTGACTCTTCAGAGCTTACTCATAGTTGTAGTCTAAATTCTTGCCTCAGTGTTGCTAAAAATCTCAGCAGTGGCAGCAGATCAACACGAAGCATCTATTTGAGGCTTTGTTAATGTTTATTGAAACTTTCATTTTAATTTTACAAGCTCTGCATAGAGATCACTTTAAAACAGGTGCACACAGAGCTCCCTAACTAAAGGTGCAGCTGAATGCAGTCCGGCTTCCAACATGGGCAGCAGTTCAGCCTCAAGAAGGCCATGCTGGGATCCAGGCATCAGGTGTCTGACATTAATGTCCACTGCTGTCTCACAAAAGCATGACACTGTTTTTTGCCTCTGGTTCTGAAGTCAGAAACTCTATTGTTGTCAGGGCCAGCATGCACAGACACTTGATCTTGGTTTGAATCATGTGTGTAGAAGGCTATTATTCCCCATATGTATGCATGCATTGGGAAACAAACTGGGGGAAAAAAAATAGAACTAAGAAAAGAAAAAATGGGAGCAGAAAACTTTGAAATAAACCAGATTCTTAGTGGAATAAAAAAACTCCCTTCAGTGCATTTTCTCCATCTGTGTCAGCTTTTATAGCTCTGTTTCTGGTATGCATCTTTTGAGATTTCTTTAAAGATTGTGAAGAAATTTTGTCTTACATCAACAAATGGTTTTCAGAGCTTGAGCAAAGCCATAACAAAAAGCTTCTTGCAGAAATGCATTGGTGGTCAGGGAGGGAGAGGGGTAAATGAGGTTGTAGGGAGGGAAACACAGGGCTGCTTTGCAATTTTTTTTTACATTTGAAGATCACCACAATGCGAAGTTGCATTTCAGGTTTAGAAACGGTTGGGGGGGGGGGGAGGGATTTCAAGACAAGATGTGCTTGTATATGTTTTGTGAGTAGACTGATTGTATTGAAAACTGCAGTCGGTTACTTGGTTTGCGCCTACATGCTGGCATTTATCGTTGTCATACCATCAGTAAGCTGCCCTGTCTTGGTTTGGCTCAGGCTAGTAGCTGGCGTTCAGTAAGAGGTGAAAAACTAAACTGAAGCTGATGCAGTGCTGCAGGAAGTCCTTCACAACAGTACTAGAAAAGACTGGAAAACGTACAGTAGGCCATCTGTTTTTTGCTGAAGCTCTGAATGCTACCAGAAAGCCTTCCGAGCTTTTACTGGTTAAAATGTCCTGAACTCACCTCCTGTGTTTCCTTTTCCCTTTAAGATGTGTACTTAGGGGGAGGAGGAGAGGATATGTTCATACGGACCAGTGCATATCTGGAAGTCCATGTCCTGAAGGTGTGTGGGAGCAAGTTTCACATGGAACGCCTTCAGGATATGCACGGTGCACATCTGGAACTGCTACAATGATGATAGAATTAGGAGAGCATGAAGAGAGCACGAAAAGTACCCATAAAACAGAAGGACGCCACTTTTTTAGCTCCAAGTCTTAAGTTAAAAACCACATTATGATTCATTATGCATCCAGAATGTCTGAGGTATAGACTATGCACAGTTAGCACAGGAATGAGGAAGGAATGCCACTTCTGGTCCAAAAGGAATGGAGATTAACAGTACTGGCTTGGTGCTTTGATCACAGGAGGGGAGCATCATGGAGCATTAGAAGCTGTTTTATAATTAAGTGTAAGAGTAGTGAAGAATGTAAGCCTGTAGGGATGGTTTTTTGATGTTTTCAACAATCACAGACTGAAACTGTTTTTTCACACAGTGCTGGGAGCCCATCTTACAGGCGGTGATCACACTGTTCTTTTGTATTAAAAGCATCTTAAAGTCTCAAGAAAGGAACAAGAAGTGAAGGCTCCAAATCTGCCACATCTTATGTACATGTTTAACGTCAGGCACTGCTGTTGGCTTTGGTGGTGATGTGAGGGAGGTCAAACATATGGTAAGGCCTTGCAAGGATTAATCTAGGGGACTGTTGCCTAAGTGGTCCGTGGAGCCAGTGCTTGTCTGCAGGAGCTTGGCTGCTGCTGGTGGGATTTTTTCCTCCCCAGCTGTAAATCTCATTTTTAAAATACCAAAGTATACTAGACCATTTCCAAATAACACTCCTCCATGCAATTATTTGCAATGGCTGCCAGGGGGGTATTAGGGGTCTCAAAGGGGAGCAGAGTGTCTGCAAAACCTACGCTGCATTAAGATATCGTTCTTGCTCAGGAATATACAGATCCCTGAGTTAGATTCACTCAGCCATAGACCACGCTCAGAAACCTTGAAGAAAATGGTTTTTCTTCCTCTTGCTGATATACTGAGTTTCTAAGTGAAACACAGCGTGAAAGAGGAAGAGCAAAGGAACTGTGTAGTGGGGGTTCTCTCTTCACAGTGGGAAATGATGATTTTTATGTCTTCAGCTGAGCTAAGGTGGCGTTGGGCAAACTTGTGCACTTCGTGTCTTGGTTTCTCCAGCCAAGCAGTTGCACATCTCACCCTCACATACACACAGAAAATGCAAACCTTGTGTTTGCCGCTGCTGTAGTGAGGTGAGACCGAGCCTGTGCTGGGCTGAAAGCTAAATGCTCAGTGGGAAAATCTGTGTATCACTGATCAAATTCAACTAAGACATAGTTAATTTAAAAACTCTGCCTAAATGTTGGTTTGGGTAGGTTTGTTGAATGTATTTCAGGATGCGCCCTGCTTAGCCCGTATCAGTGCTGCACGGTTACAAAGCTCAGAGCTTAAGGAGGTGGCTTTGCATGCTTCCCTGAAATGTCTGAACATTGAAGGGACAGGGAAAGATGCACCATGGAGCAAATCTTGATGTTGTGAAACCACCGTTCTTACTCCATTCTCAATTCTTGTTATCCTGCTGGGTGCTGTGTTTTGTTTTCTATATTCATCTGTATGGAGTTTTTCTTCTTAAAGAATGCCTGTGTGGTCAATGTGGAGACTTAAGAGTTGGAAATCATGTGGCAGTCAGTGTGGACAGGTCAGAGAGGGAACGAGCAAGCTCTCTGGCAGCATTCATTTCTCAGCGTATCATCTGTGACATTTGTTTGACTGCCAGAAATACCACCTAGTTGTCTCCATTTACTAGTTTGTATTGCATTGAATGGTGTGAAGAGCTGGGAGCATGAATGGAAATGACTTTTAGGCAGCAATGTCAGCAGAAATGCAAAACTGCAGAAATGAACTTCTGTCAAACTCAAGCTTTCTTTGTAGCACGTCCTTTATTTTTGTGTTTGTGAGATGGTAAAGAAGTAGTAAATTGTTGTGTGTGGTTTTGGGTTAGCTGCTTTTGACCTGACAATAGCACTAGGGAAAAGCTGGTGTAAGCGTTGTGCAGTGGTTCTGTAACAAAGCTCCAGGCATGCTGTTTCTCTGCCACTTGCTCTTCTGTGCTAAATGTGACTTCGGATAGAAGTGCCTTTCTGGTGGCAAGAAGCAGCACAGCCAGCACCCCCAGAGCCAGTTGCTGGATTCTCAGTTGAACTCCTGGTTTGCATGAAGGAGAAATGAACTTCTTTAATGACACAGTGAAAATTTTTTTTCTTTGCACAAGAGCTTCTTTACGGTGAGGGTGACGGAGCACTGGAACAGGCTGCCCAGGGAGGTGGTGGAGTCTCCTTCTCTGGAGATATTCAAGTCTTGCCTGGACGCCTACCTGTGCGACCTGGTGTAGGGAACCTGCTTTGGCAGGGAGGTTGGTCTCGATGATCTCTAGAGGTCCCTTCCAACCCCTACAATTCTGTGATTCTGTGTGAAAATACCTGCATAGGGCTGTGTTTTTCCCACCTGCCCAGACCTGGTGAATGAAGCAGCATTTGCTTCCTGAACTTCTCTTGGCTTCTCCCTGAATGCCTGGAGGAGCAAGGAGGTGAAGGATGGCTGTGTACCTCCCTGACAGCCCCTGGGTGCCCAGCTGCTGTTGAGCTTACTGCAGTTACTGTCTGTTGGTTCATATGGATTTGTTTCCTTGCTGTTCGGTCAAGAGCATGACAGTGTGAAATCTCTGGAATCCACCGTCTCCTCTTTACGTTCAGGCATGGGCCCACAGCCTGCCCTCTGTTAGTGCTTTGGGTGGCCAGCACCAAGATGAGCAGTGCTTTGAGAACACAGCCTCCTTGTGTTTCTGAGAACTTGCGTGTCCTCCCTCTCTCTGGCAAAATGGCTGCTCGCTGAAATCCCGCCTTTTGTCTTCCAGATTCCGACCTGAGCATGCGGACTCTCAGCACTCCCAGTCCAGCACTGATATTCCCACCTACATCTCCCGGTTTCCAGAATGGTCGAGGCTCCTCTACTTCGTCATCCTCAGTCACTGGGGAAACGGTGGCCATGGTCCACTCTCCCCCTCCCACCCGCCTCACTCACCCCCTCATCCGGCTGGCGGCCAAGCAGCAGAAGGAGCAGGCCCACGTCGACCGGCTGCCCGACCAATCCATGATCCACATCTTCTCCTTCCTGCCCACCAACCAGCTGTGCCGCTGCGCCCGCGTGTGCCGCCGCTGGTACAACCTCGCCTGGGACCCCCGGCTCTGGAGGACTATACGCCTGACCGGCGAGACCATCAATGTGGACAGGGCTCTTAAAGTGCTGACGCGAAGGCTTTGTCAGGATACACCCAACGTATGTCTCATGTTGGAGACGGTAATTGTTAGTGGCTGCAGGCGGCTCACAGACAGAGGACTCTACACCATTGCCCAGTGCTGTCCGGAACTGCGGCGGCTGGAGGTGTCTGGCTGTTACAATATCTCCAACGAGGCGGTCTTTGATGTCGTGTCACTGTGTCCAAATCTGGAACACCTGGATGTGTCAGGTAACGGGAAATATTTAAGTATGGATGCCTGGGAGTCTAAAAGCCTCATGCCAGTCAGGCACCTGCTCCCCAAAACTGTGCACTTCCCCGTTCTGTGTTACGTTTCAAGCTAGGAATACAGATACACTCACACTGTTCCAGTGTGCTGGGCACCACTGGGATCTCAGTGACCCACATGCCAGCAGCAGCTCACGGACAGAATGGCTCTGATGGAGGCATGCTGGCAGAGATGAGCCATTCAGACAGCCAGGACACTTCTAGATGTTTGCATAAAGCAGCCTGTGCTAGGCTTTTTGTCTAGGTATTAATATCAAATGTCATTCCTAGTGAAACTTCAAAGTCTTCTAGTTTCCTATTCCTGTTCCTATTTTAACCAGGTGCAGCTAGCTGAGACTTTCTTTTATAGTGTATACACTTGCTTAGAAACTTCATCCTTTCACTACAGTTGCAGTATATCACTGCTGCTGTTTAGATCAGCAGAAATGTTTGAGACAGTTTTCCCCAGATGTGTCTGGGGGTACAAGATATTTATTTCTTTTTCTATTTATTTCTTTTTCCCAAGGTCAGCCACACACAGTTTCCTCTTGGAGAATGTGTTGGTATTTAATTAAAAGGATGCACTGAAGCAGATCTCCGAAGTAAATGCAAATTTCAGTATTTATTTTGTGATCTCACATTGTTATCAGTCTAATGCCTATAATACCCTATAATAATCAGCTAGACCTGATTTCCAGATTTGCCATTGCAGAGGTATTGGTGGCTATACAAAAAGCAGAGCACAGTAGGAATTGCAAACGATGTTGATGAGTCACTTGTATCCAGATAAGCTGATTTTTCAAAAAATTTCCCAGCGGGTGCACATTGCTTTGCTTTCTTTTTTCTTTTTTTTTTTTTCTTTCAACTAATTTTTTCATCTCTTTCACTCACTATTTCCCAGGATGGCAGATGGCAGAAGGATAGCATCAAAACAAATAGTAACAAATCAAAATTATTCACTTGTTTTGTGACCTCTCTCTGCAGTTGACAGTTGATTAGGGATTCTGTCCCAGAGAGTCTATTCACAGTCAGGTTATATCTGAATTAGTTGTGTCAGCATGTGCAGACAACAGCTGGGAGATGCTACCACATATTCAGGTTGAAGCATCTCCAGTATCAGGAGTAAATGTGTATGCCTGTGTAATTTAAACCTGGAGCTTCATGTCACTTTGAAGGTTGGCTATATCCCATGCATATTGATATTTCTCTAACGTACATCCACTCATGTGGCATGGAGAGTTCATTAGCCCAATATTCTGGCTCTGGAGACATAGGAAAGTGGAATTGCTGAGCTGAGGGCAAGCTGCGAAGAGGGTAAACAGGTTTGAGATAAAAGAAAGTATAGTTGGTTTAGTGAGCAACACCTTAACGACCAGTGCAAGAGAAAGCCATGGATGAGCATAGAGATACTGTTGGGCAGATTCAAAATGTTTCTTAACACATCACCTTGTCCATCTCTGGGGATTTTTCTTATAAAGCAAATTTGCTTGCCCTCATTCTTTTTTTTCCTCTCCATTTTCTCAAACAGAAGGAATGATTCCTGAACTTAAAACAGGAACAGCCGTCTTCCACAAAGGCTGGGGGGGCCAGATTCTCACTAGTCAGTATCGTTGCAGTTGCTGAAAGAACTTACTCGCCTCGCTGAGCCCTGCCTCAAGCTATGCCAGGGCTGCTTTCTTTTATTTCTCTTTGGGAAATAAGTGTTAAAAAGAAGGTATGTCAGGGGAGGCCAAAAAGAAGGAGGAAAAAAAGACACCCTGCTCTTACTTTCGTAGCTGAATGCCATATTAAAAGAATTCCAGGAACAAGATTTCAAACAGCAATTTTAATTGCTGTACAGACTGTCCCTGGACTTGTCTGAAATGAGGTTGCATTCTAGGGCCTTGGATAAATGTGGACTACTATTAGGAGATCTCATGTGAGAAGTTTGCTTCTGTAATCAATCCAGGGAGTAATTAGAAGGACAAGGCTTGCATACATGTTTGGGCAATTCTCAGCACCGAAGGAGTTCACTGATCTGATTTTATAGTGAACAAGAAAGGTTGGGTACTTGTGCTGGGGGCTAATGCTGTACTTGTAGCCAGTTATTTAAAACCCAGTTCACATGAATCCCTCTCCTTCTTGGCTGGCTATTTGGCAGCAAGAACATACCAAAATCTTTAATGTCAAAACCAGACATTCTTATTAACTTCCAGAGTTCTCCACAATGGAAGTTCTGTCACTTTCAACATCCACTTTGTGGGCAAGTCTGAGATATCTCCAGAAGCTGGTTGAGCTTGACTGCAAATTATTATCTGACACGCTTGCCAACAATTTTTTAATCTGTTTGGAAGTTACTCCTCCATTTTAAAAATCGGTTTTACTTCCTTTATGGAAAATCCTGCTACAGAAGTTTTGCTTTTACATTTTTTGTTATTTAGGACAGAAAAATTGCTACAGACCGAGAAATCTGTCATTTTGCCTAAAAATCAGGTAGTTGCATATCAGTATGGACTCTTTCTCTAGTAGAACCATTTTGAATACTCTTTCCATGAAATATTTCACGTTGTAGCCAAAGTAACTAGACAAGATGATGCTGGGCTGTGATCACACACTTATGCACCCTGACTCCAACCCTGCTGAGATACTTCTGACCTGTTCACACTATAATTGTGGTCATTAATGTTCTCCCCTTTCTTGGATCCACAGCAGACTAAACATTCTTCTTCACCCCATAAGCCTTTCATTCTCACTTCACCAAATTAGAAAACTGAATTCTAGTCAGCATATCCAGAGATATCCTGAAATATTCAGACTGATGCCTTAATCCATCAGCCTTGTTGTGCAAACACAACTGACAGATTTATGCCTGGGTGCCAGCTTTTTCTATGAAAACCCACTTCAAGGATGGGGACACCTCCTGTGCATTTAGTATCAGTTAGTACAACGTGTGTATTTGGAGTGAAATTTTAAACCAGTCAATACTGAACTGTACTCCTTTCCTTCTACAAAAACAAACAAAGAAAAACAAACAAAAAACACAAAAACTTTGCTTTATATCTGTATAGTATTTATTTGAATGCAAACATTTACGAAAGTTGCACCATAGTATAGATGGATCTGCAAGGCAGTCTGAAGGGGAAATAGTTTTAAAAAGAATGTGATCACTGAAAAAAGTGTTTTGCTTCAAGGTCCCAGAGCTTCTACATGACCTGTGGACAATTTGCCAGTTCCATTATTTGAGGCCTAAGGTAAACTTTGCATCTGTTCAACTAAATTTGAAGCCTAAATTAAAATTCCAGCTGCAAACTCAAGTGAGGAATGTAGAAATCTTAACTGTAGATCGTAAACTGTTTCAAGTCCGTATTCCACGCTGGACATCTGCGTGAGCCTCCTGGATTATCTGAAGATTTTTTCTTTTTTTTTTTTTTCTTTTTCTGCAGCATATTCAATCCTTCTAATAAATGTCTGAATAAGACCTGTTGTATCAAGTGGTATGGGTTTGGATCATCCACGTTCTTGAGGAGATCTCTATACAAAGATTGGCATGCCTTCTTTTTTTTCAGATTACTGGACTTGTGCAGCATTTATGATCCATGGGGCTGTAAGGTTGTCATCTTAACTTTTCTGTTTTTTTCATGGCTCAGTTCATTGCTTTTGGCCAGTGTTCCAGCAGTACAGAAAAGCTCCTTCTATCCTTTCCTGAGGGCACTTCCTCAGGTATAAGTTGCAGAATTTGAGTAGACATTTGTGGCTGGAACTGTTGGGCCTTGATCACTTGCTGGCCAACCCTTCCGTCTTTCTTGCAGCTGTTTCTGGCCACGTGAATGCAGTGAGCCCACTTGAACAGGACATTTTCAGGGAAGACTTGCCCTTCAGTAGTCTGAGACTGCAAGTTTGCAATGGAGCAGAAACAGCATTTTCCAAAAAAGCTTTCACCAGTATACAAAAATGGAGAAAGTCTGTGAGCGTGTTTTTCCTTTTAATCTAGGTTTGTCTCTTTCCTTTGCAAGCTCTGGTCTTTCTCCTCTAGTCTGGTTTTATCCATTTGTGGCCGGACTTACACACTTCAAATAATCCTTTTCTGTGCCTGTTCATGTCCTCCCATGCCCTTACAAGTCTTAGCTCCTGCTGACTCTCCCCATTCTCGTTACACTACTCAAATCTCCGCCCTTCTGCAGACCAATGGTCTTGCGATAGTTTTGCATCCTTCCTGCACTGTGGACTTGGGGCTGGATTCACATCTGTTCTCCAGATGCATTTTAGACTGTTTGTGGGGTTTGTCTTCTTTTTTATCACAGGATTTGATGGTGCAAGAGCCTCTGATGTTGGTTTACCAACTCAACCAGTGAGCAATGAGTGCCTCTGGTCAAAAAGCTGCATGGTTCTCGTGTAACACCGTTCTCTCAAATTGACACTGAGTTTATAAAGTAACTTGCTGTCGAGTTTCCCTAGGTAAACCTTGGGCCATTATTTCACCATTTGTGATGCAGGCAAAAGTGGCCTGTGGCTTTGCTGGTCCTCAAAATCCAAAGAAACCTCACTGACCCCAGTGGAGTGTCTTTGCCCGGGTAAATGGATGCATCACAGCAAACCCAGACTAGTCAATCAGGATGGCTTTTCTAGTAGATATCTGCTCTGGAAGATGCCTTTTTGGCATCCAGCATGCCGTGTCACGCGCACCTTTCTGGTCTTGCTGTCTGAGTTATCCTTACTGCTTGCTTAAATTGACTGTTTTTCCACATAGGCTGCTCCAAAGTAACATGCATCAGCTTGACTCGCGAAGCCTCCATCAAGCTGTCTCCCTTACACGGCAAACAAATCTCCATCCGCTACCTGGACATGACGGACTGCTTTGTCCTGGAGGACGAAGGACTGCACACTATTGCCGCCCACTGCACTCAGCTGACCCACCTGTACCTGCGCCGCTGCGTCCGCATCACCGACGAAGGTCTCCGCTACCTGATGATTTACTGCACGTCCATTAAGGAACTGAGCGTGAGCGACTGTCGCTTTGTCAGTGACTTCGGCATGCGAGAGATAGCCAAGCTGGAGTCGCGCTTGCGATACCTGAGCATCGCCCACTGCGGCCGGATCACAGATGTGGGCATCCGCTACATAGCCAAATACTGCAGCAAGCTGCGCTACCTCAATGCGCGGGGCTGCGAGGGCATCACGGACCACGGCGTGGAGTACCTCGCCAAAAATTGCACAAAACTCAAATCGCTAGATATTGGCAAGTGCCCTCTGGTCTCAGACACCGGCCTGGAGTTTCTAGCCCTCAACTGCTTCAACCTGAAGCGCCTCAGCCTGAAATCGTGCGAGAGCATCACTGGGCAGGGCCTCCAGATTGTAGCTGCCAACTGTTTTGACCTGCAGATGTTGAATGTGCAGGACTGCGATGTTTCTGTGGATGCTCTGCGATTTGTTAAACGACACTGCAAGCGCTGTATTATAGAGCACACCAACCCTGCCTTCTTCTGAAAGAACACCCTGCTGTTACAATGCAGTATTAAAAACACTGATGTATAAACACACGCTCCCATATTCAGTAATGCTGTTTTTTTGTAGCTCACGGGAGTCAGCTTTTCTTGTATGTCGTTGATGAGGGAGCATTTCTAGAGGACTATTTTGTTTGCTTTGTGTATGATCACTTTTTTAAGGTGCGGTGGGTCTCCGTTGAGAACCTGCCTTAATGCACGACCAGTGAGTGCTCAGCATCCCTAGCGGTGTGCCATTTCCGTAACAGCCATGATCGTGTCCCAAGCTAACGTAGCTACCTCCAAAGGAAATAGCACATAATCCCTCCTTTGGAAAGGCTGCTAAGCTGTGTCAAACACATCTGAATTCCAGCTGTGCTCTTAAAGCTGACTATGCAATATGTGTCTCTGTTCTCCAACTTCTCCAATATGGCTGATAAAGCATCCCCTTATCTCCAAGTAGTTTTTCCTCGGTAGTCATTCATTGTAATCCCTCAGGAAATACTGGGAGGTGTTTTTAAATATACTTCACTGAGGCAGAAGACCTGCTGGCCTTTGCTGAGCACTCTGCTGCACGAGCCTGGAGATTGTGCTGAAGCATGGTTTCTCGTGGAAAGCTCTTTTCCAGGTCACTTATGTATCATCACTACTTGCCTTCGGTTCTAAATCTGCCCTTACCTGCATCTGTAGTAGCAGCTCCTGGGCCTGATAAGCAGTGACATTTTCACTTGAGTGAAGGAAAACAGATGGGATATTGGTAGCCTTGCAAAGGGAGAAGCCAGCAATCCAAGAGGCTATTACCATTCTGCAACAAGCTGAGTACACTGTGTACTGAGCACTGCAGAACACTGGGGCCCCTGTGATGCTGAGGAATGGCTGACACAGACAGTGCCCATTGCTGCACTGTACTGCTGTCACCAGAAGGCCTGTCTGCTCCTTCATGGTGCCTCTTCAGCAGCCGTGACACTGCTGCAGCTGCCTCTCTCTGCACAACCCAGGCACATGTGTTGTGGTGTATTCAGTATGTGCCTTAGTACATGTAGAAACCTCACCCCTTGCTGTGGCCCTCCAGTTTAACAGGTAGATGGCTGATCTCAGGTCTTCAAAGAGGTTAGCTTGTTGTTAGGTGACATCCTGGGAGAGAGAGGGGCTTAGAATGTTATTCACGTCAGAGTCTTGTGTTCCCAAAGGCTGGATAGATGGCTGCCAATTACTACACTAACATTGCCCTGTGACACTGCAAGCCCACTGTACTCTCGTGATCACTCTTGCTCATGCAAGAGCAAGCAGGGCTTGGAGTTTCCCCTCTGCTGCCTCTCTTCTCAGAGCACACAGTCATTTTGTGGTTCCTTTCTTCACTGTTTTCTGGCAGCCGTTTCTCTTCAGTTTCGCATTTACTGCTCAGATTGGAAGCCAAAGATGTGAGGGGGTGATGATATTTTCAGGCAGGCCCCCTGTGCATGACTGACAGGTGAATTCATACAGTCAGCATTGTGAATTTATACATTCATCTCAAATGCTATAAATGTCTTGGTAAAGAACATAAGAAGGGAAGCACCGTGTCTGGTTTTCATAAGCAGTAGTTCCATCATCTCCAGACAACACTCATAAAATCATTGATATGAAGCGAAAATCCACATGCTCACGAAAAATACATAATTGCTGAGGAAATACTTGCAGCAGTGCTCTCTCAGATTACAAAAAAGCAATGCTTTGGGCACGTCCCTGCAGAGGGAACTTGTCCTGCTTGTGCAAAAAGTCCTGTAACGTACGTATGTTCCTCCAGTTTGGAGTTTCCTAACTTCTGGTATGTCACCACCTGTGAATTACAAATGCGATTGTACTGAAGCAAGGAGGGCCAAGGAACATGAATTTGTTATTGCTACTGTTACTGGTCAGCGGGTAGCAGAGAGTAATCCCATCCTTTGACCAGTTAACATCACTTTAGTTTTCCTTTCTGTGTTTTTAAAATTAGAGATTCTTTTCCAGCCAGTATTACAGCGTATTTTATCCGAGCCAGCTATACTCTCTGTTTATCCTTTATCTGAAAACGGCCCCAAGAACAGTTAAATGTTGAGCCCATTTCTGAAGATGGTGGGATTTAGAGCCATTTGCACTCATGAAATATAAGGCCTCATTAGTAACGTTTAACTGTTTATTAGGAAAAAAAATCTACTTTTCTGGCTAAGCTAAATTGAGTGAATAGTGCTACATGGTTTTTAAGGTTTCTGATGTTTAAATTGGCCTGTACTGTACAAATCTCACTATAAAGCCTTAATTTGCTACCAAGAAATAAAGCAATATATTGGTAACTGATGAGAGTGCATTGTCATTTGCACTAATTGATTAGCTTATTGTGAAAATGAAAAGATTAAATACTTGTAAAATTTTGTTTTCTTGAGTCCAAGCAGACGAATGAACAAATCATTGCAATAAGTAGGTGGATGATTATAAAAACAACAGAGGATTCATATAGGTTATGGTTTTGCCTATCTGTCTCTTTAAAATTTTATTTTCCTCATGAGGATCTTCTTTACTCTGAGACATAATCAGTAAATGGAAGTGTAAGTAAAAGAAAAAACAACATGTAAAAAGCTCACGTATAAAAGGTCCAGGAGGGCCTCTGCTCTGAATTAAAGACAAGCTAACATACTTATTCTGAAAAGTAAAAGGGTAAAGCACTTACTTATTAGTGCAGTGTTCCTTTTGAATGTTCCAGAAAACACACTCTGGGGGGCACTTGTGGAAGATGAATAAAAGTAATTTTTCAAAGCCAAACAACTTACACAATCTGATCTGCCACCCTGAGGCTGCTATGTATTTCAAGAAAATGTGAACTTATTGATAAAGCTTGCTTGTTTTGACTTTTAACCTTTTTCCAATGTCTGTCTGCAAAATGACACAAGCAGAAAGGAAAATGAAGTATTATATCTGGAGCTGAGTTTCCTGGGAAGGATGCAGCATATGAATGAGGTGTCGCAGTTCCAGTTTGAGGTTGGCAAAGACTATCAATTTCCTGAGCAAAAACATTGTTGATTCTTGAACCATAACATTCAGGCTGAGGCAGTGAGGCTTCCTCTGCTCTGCCCCTCTGCAATCTCATTGAGGCAAGCAACCATGGGTCACGTCAGTCAGGCTGGCATTTGTTTGTGACTCAGCAATAACTTGTGCCACGCAGAAAGAGTCTCTTTGAAAGGGCTCATCTAAATCACCATGCACTGTGATTATACCCAGAGCTCTGTATCAGGATATTTAGTTTTCTCATTCCCTTGCTTTTCATAAAAAAGTGGAACTGTATTTTCCTGAGGTTAGCAGTGTGCAATTAATGCGAAGTACAACACTTTTGCCTTTCTGAGCTGTGCACTTTTAGCTTCCCACAAAATGCGAAACAGCTTCTGTTGGATGTCTCGAGCCTTCTTCAGAACCTCGGTCTGTAACCTTTCAGTAATGGTTTGACAAAACATCTACCCTTTGAACTGGAAAACTTAAAAAGCTAGTAAAAGGCCTAATTTTAGACGAGGCTTGAAGCAGGTCCAAAACCCCATTAAAAAGAAATGTAGTGACCGTTTGGACTGCAGACTGGCTGCCCCACAGCTGCCAATGTTAGTTACAAGGGGAAAAGCTCTGTGAGAGAGCTGGTAGCAAACGGTTCTTCCCTGCCTTCAGTTTTTTACAGTTTTCTCAGTTTTTAGCTGTTCAGGCTGAAACTTCCCATGCTGGGTTTGAAAATGTTAGTTGAAATGGTTCATCTGGCTCTGTAAATAAAGCTAGAAGGAAATGTCATCTTGCTCACGGTAAACTCTTGGTGACCTTTCCTTTGAAAACGGTCCATTGCTCTCCATCTCCTCTATAGCCTTCAGAGCAAGAGTGTGAGCCTTGCCAGGAGGTCAGCTTCGGGACAAGGATGTGTCTTACTAATCTCCCATTAAAATTCACCCTAGTTTAGCTACAGTACATGTCTTCAGACATCTCTGACTTCGTGATCGGGGAGAAGAGGGCCACGCTTGGCTATGATGAGGAGTCTGGCAAGGCAGAGATTTGGCAAAGCTGAGAAGCATTTATCACTCTGGCAGTGTGAAGGAGGAAATGGCCCGAATTATGTGGAAGCTGCCTGGAAAGTCAGAGCAGGGTTGAAAGACAAGATTTGGAGAACTGGGACAACAGAGGGATGAAGGAAAAGAAATTTCTTGGGCAAGAGGACTGCGACTGAGATGAGTCTGAATGATTTTCAATAAAGAAATTGAGTCAGGTTAGGAGAACTGGGTTTGTATGCCTTATTGGACAGGGAGCGTTGGATCAGAGAGAATGTGAGTCAAGTATTGAAGAATGATGTTTGGGGCAGGAACAGAAACATGAAGAAAATGGCCTGAACACTAAGTAAATAAGTGCACTCCCTACACGGTAGGCTCAGAGCAAGGCTGGCAAACTCTTTTAGTATGTCTCAAATTTGAAACAGTATTTCAGAAATGAAATCATACTTTTGGATTTGATGCATTCAACATCTACCCTTTATAATGATTTTTTAAGCTGGAAAAGCTCTATAAGCAGACCTTTTGCCTTTGCAAATGTGTACTGGGGTCTGCACGTCCATTTCAGTGTCTTGTTCCTGCCTTTACATCTTTGTGCAAGGTCATCTACTGAGAAGAAGGTGGCAAGGCAGGTTTGTAATACCATGCTTCCTGCTGCAGTGGGTTTCAGCAGCACCATTTCTTCTGCTTTGCCTAGGTGCAGGCATCTGTGGAGGGTGAAATTCCTGTCATTTTGATGACTGTAAAAAGCTATGATAATAATAGGTTCAAGTTACTGCCAGGCAGTAGACATCAGAATTCAAATTTAGCCTTAACAAAAACAAATTGAACTGAACAGCGCTGCTGCGTACTATTAAACAGATTAAATCAATTTTCTCCATAAAATTGCTGAGGGATGTTTATTTTCATGCACCCCTGCTGTATAGCTGTGTGCTTCAGAGCAGATTTTTTCCTCTGTTTTTGTTTGCTGTGAGATCTGAACAGAAGAATCAGGTCATTTTTCCCTCGTCCTCTGGATGATCATTGAGGTGCATGTTAGATTTACACTTGTGAATGGATATCTTTTCCAAGAAGGCTCTACTAATACAAATTTTTAATACAGTTTTTTTAATGCAGTTAGAGTGCAACAATCCAGTTGGCCATAGATATGTCAAATTAAGACATTATAAATACAAAAGTTACAAAATAGACACCAAAGGGAGAACCAGACAAACCAGAAAAAGGGATGAGGAGAGGAGAATGAGTAGGAGAGAAAGAGGGAGAGAAAAAACAAGCTTTTCTAAGTGAAGTGATACTTCTAATGCAGAAGAGAAGCCTTTGCCATTATTTCTATGACTTAAGGCACTGTCTTCTTGGGTTTAGAATGGATTACTTTTCCTTTGTTTTTAAAAGAAACACTGTCATAACCTCAATCTCACATGAACGGTAAAAATGGAAAAAGCCATCTTTAAAAGACGAGTGAGAAGGCAAAGATGGATTTGTGCCAAAAGGAATGAATATTTTTAACAGTTTCATATTGCACTGTCTGTCTTTGACGGTTCCTAAAGCATTTTTTAACAATCAAGTAAATGGCCATTCCTGAGAAGTTTCCATTACTTCTTGAATATACTTCATTCATACAGTTGCCTCAGCAGACAGATAACTGAGATTTGAAAAGGTTCATTTTTCAGCTGCAATACGCAAGAGATCATTCATGGTTTGCAACTTTTTCTTCTTTCTCAAGTGTTTCCAGATCTTTATCACTTGCCTTTTATCAAGGATATACCCTAAGCAACAGGTAAACTGAGTTCACCGCATCTAGTAAAGTATTTATTAATCGCGGTTTGTTTCCATTTGATGCCTAGGATTTGCTCTGGTTTTCTGATCATGCTGTGTTTTATGCTTTGAAAGTACTTAGAAAAAAAAACAGTTCTGGATTTGAATTACACTGAGGAGTGCTTGAATCACACCATTGGCAGCGATAGTCTTCCTTGCAAACCCAAAATGTCTGTCCTTAAATGGTCTCCTTTTCTACTGCAGGCTGTGTGTTCCTACAGTCAGACACGGAGTTAAGCTGCCTGACTGCATCCCTGCACTCTGCTCTGTTCACCGACACATATGACAGGGTGGGATTCCAGAGGGCTGCCCTGCTGAAAGCTCACCTTCCTGGTTTGCCAAAACAATTAAAAAATACCTCATCCTATGCCTTCTTTGCACTGTGGGGATAAAGGAGAGCCCCGACTGCTAGGTAGGAGGAGTTCCTTTTGCTTGTTTTCTACTTGTGTTAAAGTCATAGCCTGGTAGCTCTCAATTTCTTTTGAAATTGCTTATAGCAAAGTACATCCATCCACAAAGTGCTATCGTGCTCCTGCATTAAAGGAGCACATTAACAGGGGGGGGAACGGCTGTTTATGAGGGTGGATAGTGATTGGACAAGGGGGAATGGTTTTAAACTGAGACAGGGGAGGTTTAGGTTACATATTAGGAGGAAGTTTTTCACTCAGAGGGTGGTGACACACTGGAACAGGTTGCCCAAGGAGGCTGTGGATGCTCCATCCCTGGAGGCATTCAAGGCCAGGCTGGATGTGGCTCTGGGCAGCCTGGGCTGGTGGTTGGCGACCCTGCACACAGCAGGGGGTTGAAACTGGATGATCATTGTGGTTCTTTTCAACCCAGGACATTCTATGATTCTATGATTGGGATGAATAATGAATAATGCTATTTTAAACTGGGGTTTGCACTGAAAAGGAAAAAGGGAATGAGCATTATGAAGGCAAACCTTGAAGGACCATGCTTTAGAGTGATCCATTACTTGACTGAGTGAAGCTTCTGTTTTACTGGAGGTAAACTACAGGAACAAGCACTAACTTCAACACCAGTTCTGATGAAGAAGCAGGCCGTTTCTCTGTGTTGTTCTTTCCTTTCCTCTTCTGACCTTAGAGAGAAATCCAAGCTCCTGTGAGAGGCTGAGATATTCTGCCTCTGTCGACATGGGTAATGCAAGTGGTGAGTGGATTGGTGTTCACAGGATAAGTTCATTTGCTTGGCAGCAATCGGGGTGATGGACTGAGGTGATTAACTGCAAGTCAGTGACCGCTCAGTGGCCAAATCTTGCTCACATTTCACACTGGAGGTGGAAAGTGTGCATCAGTGTCAGTAAAGACAACACTTGCCAGTGCTTGTTCTTTTCACATACTATGATATATATTATAAAACTACACAATGAAAGATGAATCAACTGGAGGGGGGGGAGGAGGAGGGGAAGGAGCAGTGTTGATATATTCCGATAATTAAAATCCATTGTC